TTATTACTTCTGCTATTGCAAATCTGCAACAGTTCAGATCTGAGTTCAGATGAACTCAGACCTGAACTGATGCAATTTTGAGGGGAATTGAGTATCATCACCACCCTAATTCACCCTAGGGGACTTATGGGGTTCCCCTAAAAGAACTTTTGGTAAGCAACATCTGAAGAAATTTAGATCTGAATTGATTCAAATCCGAATTGCAGTTGAGGACTGAACCAGAACTTTGAATTTTTTTTCTCTGCTCTATGCACTTATAACCAAGGTAATGTATCTGAGGAGATGTATGATTAAATGGTGATGTGCAATAGTTCCAATAAGTATATTCAATTCAGACTCCATTTATTATGGTTTGTTAATTGCAGATTTGAACTCAAATAAATTGTATCTGAATTCAGCTGCTACAATTAAGGGATGTAAATAAGATTGTTGGTTTGGATTCCCTTTTTAATAATCAAAATCATTTATGATCTAAAATCAGTGGTTATTTGAATGCTAATAACCATTAATTTCAGTATAAATGATTTCTGTAATTTCAGATCTGAACTCAGATCCAAAGGTGATTGTTCTTAGTAGGTAAGTTTGCAGATCTGATTTCAAGTCTCTGCAATTTATTGAGGCATACAAGACATATAAGTTGGGACTTGAAATAAGAAGTCTTAAACTCTTGAGTTCAGATCGAATTGCATCATAATTCAGACTTATTGATGTTAGGTTTTTTTGTAAGACTGTTATCAAAAGCTAAGACTTCAGGTCTGATTCTATTAAGAGCCTGAAGAGCAGCCTAAAGATACTAAATTCAGCAATTGATTTTAGATCTGATTACAGTAGATGTTAGATATGTTTACTTCTATTTAGTCTAGAATAGTGTGTAATAATATCCATTGCTAATTTATTTAGCTTTCCTTTTCATTAATGATCTACTTCACACTTGAATGCTGGTTTTTAGTGATGGAGCTCTATTTTTCTTGTTTATAAAAAAAAAGAGAGAGAGAGAGAGAAAGAGAGAAGCAAATGACTTTGGTTTGTCTTATTAATTACTTGGCTTTGTAAATTTTTCTTGTATAACTGGTAGATCAGGATTGCTTACATTCTTTTGAATTGTGAATAGCAGTCTTTTTATTATTTGGTTTAAATTATTTTTAGTTAGAACAAAGCTCCTGATCTCTCTTGCAAGTAAATTCTAGGAGAAGAGGCTCCTACCAAAAGAACTCTTGCATATCTGGAAATTAATCTTCAGGATGTCCTCTTTACCCTTCCCTTTACTTGGAATTTCTCTTGTTGGTTTTATTGTGATCCCCTAACACTAGGAACATTGAGGACAATGTTCATCTTAAGTGTGGGGGAGTGAGCC